GCAATATTGTTTTCAGTATCAGGTTGCTGTTAAATTTTTGTTCAGAGAAAATAATCCTGGGTGCCTTAATGCATAACCGCTGCCCCTCTTTTCAGTGGCAATTCCTGTAAATCAAGTTACAGGAAACAAGCACAAAGTCCATCGCCCTCTGGAAATCTTTTGCACTTAAAGAGGTTTAAATGGAGTTCTTCTGTTATTTCGAGGAAATGCTAAATAAGAGAATTAATAGCAAAAGCCAAATGATACATACACATGCATCTACCGCAACCTGATTTTTCTCTTTTCTTTATAGGAGAACTTTAAAAAAAAAAGTATTCCATTCAGCATTGCATTGACGAGCTAAAGGTTAAATAGTCTGTGATAGTCTATTAAAACAGAACAGCGCGCAGGCATACAATACAATCCAGCTACAGCGCGCACTTCCTGTGCGCCCCCCACCCCGCCCCACCACACACACGAAAAAGCAGAGACTATTACTAGCCACAAAAGATATGCAGTAAAATGGGGGGCAGAGATGGGAGCAAACCTCAGAGCAAAGTCTTGCCTACACACAGAAGTTGTGTTACTTTAAGTCCTTTGGTGCAGGTGAAGTGCTCCAACTCTCAGTTGTTGCAGTGACAAACAGGTGCTCGTGCTGATACAGCTTCTCCCTGGTTAGGAAGGGGAATAGGTTGTACCAGACTTGAGTCCTCCGCCCACCTGCATCTCATCTCGGGTGGTATGGGTGTGACTATTTGGCTTGAAAATAATCCCAGCCCCCCCGAAGTGAGCCAGGCATTAAATACCACAGCCTGGCAGTTCACAAGCTAAAGTTTGCGTGACCCCAGGTATCAAAGAAAGGGGCTCGTGGGTCTGAGAGGTGCCGTCTTAATATGGGGTTACAGGGAGAAGGACTAAAAGACCCCAGTCACCGAAACTGCAGCTACTCACACGCCCAACATCGCCGATACAATATTGCATGTGAGCATCTGCTTCGGGACAAAGATTTCTGTGCAGCAACCCTGAAATAGGCTGATTTAGAAGCAAGACTCTTAAGTTGATCCTGGCTTAAAGGAACAACTTCTGAACGTCGCTAAAGGGTTTGGATGTTTGTTCGTGAATGGAAACCCCCGCTACCCCGCGTCATTTATAACTTCAATATGAAGCTTTTTATTTATAGAAAGGCTGCTTCTGTTGGTGTCAGTACCTGTGGAGGGACAACTTTTTTTTTCCAGTTACTTGTAATGGAGTTCTGCTCGTACAAGACTGCTACGTTTTGGTGATGACTACTCTTGGGAGGGCTTGTTTGGGGGGGTTGTTTTTACTTTCTTTTTTTTTTGCTTTCTTAGAAGCAACTCAGTGGCTGTTTCATTGGAACAAGATCCAATGAGCGTGCCACTTATGCCAGCTTAGTAGGTCACAGAAGGCATCGATAGCAGTCAGAACAGGGAGATCGCTTCAGTCTGCATTCAGGAAAGGCTTATGTCTGTGCCAAAGACCTGTTAAATCAACGGGACTTCAGCACATGCGTTAGAGCCCGGGCCCAAGACGTCTGTCCCAAGCGATGACCAAACTATTCTGCCTTCCTTAGAAGCCGACCTCCTACCCAAACATCCGGCTCTGGAGTGACGGCAAAGACAAGTTTCACTGTAAATGACTTGACTGGCCTTTATGAAGCGAGGCATAATTAAGCCAGCTGCCTGTCTGTATCAGTTCCTAACTGTAGACCCACATGCACTTTGGGGCAGGTAGCTAATTATGTTGAGTGCCAACTTCTAATTATTCATTGTTTCAGAGATGGATAATAGAAAAAAACAATGAATAAACCCAGCGTATTTTTCCTCCCAAGTGAAGAAAAATATGCTTTATAACTAACTCGAATGGTGAAAGTAGCAGCGGGTGTTACTGGGATATCCCCACACAGCATGGGAAAGACTTAACTAACTAACTTTGCTGGCAGAAACGTCATCACCATTGCAAGCGTTTAAGCACATTTGCCACAATAACATTGGAGAATAATGTATTTTTTGATAACGTTAACTGTTTAATGTTATTACTTCCACTAAATATGTGAATCTGCTGCTTCTGAGAGGCAATGTGAAAGAGGAAGTATTACTTTTGTGTACAAAGTTATTTATTTATTAGAAAAAAAAAAAACCATTTGGTACAATGTTGTACATTGAAAAACATGTAAAATATTGAAGTGTCTAACAAATGGCATTGAAGTGTCTTTAATAAAGGTTCATTTATAATATTACAGCTTTTCTGTTCTTGTTGAGAGTGAGCTTTGGAGAGATCCAGTTGAAAAAAAAAATCAATAAATAAAGAGTCTAACCAGTCGCTACCCTCTTTTCTGCTCGTTTCTACTGCAAGTGCATCCAAAGGATTAGGAAATAACAACTTTATGAAAAACACCCAGCTTGCCATGTTAAACCCAAGAGATGTAATTCTGTATGATGAACCAAAAGAGGTACCAGCAATAGCACGTGGAGTGGGAGAGCTCTGAATCATATTGAGATGGTACAATAAAGGTTTTATTCGAAATGTCTAATCCATCGATTGCTTAATTGGCTGGCCACAGTCATCAGATGGGTGCACGAAAGAAAAATGAGGTCAGTAGGGAACACAGTCAGTTGAAGACAACTTTGAACATCAATGCTGTGCGTGGGTAGTTACAACTCCATCACCGCCCATGGTAGAGATGTTGGGTGCAGCAACAGAGGTAAAGCTGAGCTGAATTTTGCATGGAAAGCAGGGATTTTGTCTCAGTGTACCAAAAACTAGTGTTTCTGCCCCACAACTGAAGTGGTAGTGTAAGAGTGATGATGCAGCTGTGATGGGCCAGAAATTATGCGAGAGGCCAGGACGTCTTCAGGCAACATCTTTTACTGGACCACCTCACATCAACTTCCAAAGCTCCCTTGCATATATAGTTGTGTGTTAGCTAAAGGGCTGGAGATGACGAGTCCCCCGGGGATGATGTCATGTTTCTTGCACAGGCTTAGGAAGACATCGCTGTGTAGTCTTTTTTCTATAGGTTATGGATTTTCTCATATAAGCAGCAGATTTCATTATCTTCCAAGTTAACTAGGCAGTGAGTCCAATAAAAGATATCACCCTAAGAAATCTGTGTCTCCTGCAGATAAAGTGAATTTAAGGGGATAAACACGTTATTCTGAGCCAAAACGGCTCCTTTAGAAACTTCATGTCTGGTGTCAAGCTACTATTTTTGGGTTTTTTTGACCAAATGATTCCAGTTTTGGAATAATACTAAACTTCCCAGCTTGTTGAAGCTCAGAGAGCTCTTTGCGTGGGCTACCACTGAAGGTTTCATTTTAGGAAGACCCATTAGATCCCTTTTCCCCATTCTAGAAGTGAAAGTTTCTCCTTCTGCCTGCAAAGGCAGGTGATGGGGGTGCTTTGTGGGCCCGGGGGGGGGGTCTACCTTACTTGATCTGGCACAGATGAGGCAGCATTGTTCTGTGCAGACCTCTTTTGCGTTAGCGTGGTAAAGGCATGGGTTCAGTTAAGGGGTCACATTAAACGTGGGTTAACAGTAAAGGGATCCACAAGGAACAGTGAAAGCATGGGCTGATAGTTAAGGAATCACAAACAAACCTGTTCTGAGCTTCCCTAACCTGTTTTGGTTGGTTGGGTTTTATACAGAAGCTAGGTATAGGGAGAGGACTTCCTGGGAGAGCAAACCATTGTAAGAGTAAGATTTGTGTGACGGAGGAGTGGCTGGATGGTGACCCCCCCTCCAATGCTGGGCTAAGAGTCTCTGGCCCCAGTGGCTTGTCACAGAGCCACCCAGTCACTGAAGGGAGTGCGAGGCCTTTAGCCAAGAAGGCTGTTCTACAAATACTTGGCTACCTGATAAACGGAGGGTAGGGCCCTGTGCTTGTTACCATCCATCAGGTTCAATTCTTATCCCACCACAAAGTGCACTGGTGTAACTGCTAAAAAAAGAAGCCTGACATCTGGTCACAATCAGAGCAGTTGGGGCTGGTTGCAATTCCAGTTTTAATCTGAGATTCGTTTCAGGATCTGTTTTACTCCTCCTTTTGATCAGTTTGCCTCCGTGCAGGCGGCAGGTTTGCGATGCTCAGATGACACAGCTCAGTAGACCATCAGGGCTTTAATAATCTAGCTCTATGAATTTACTCAAGAGGTGGCAAAAGAGTCTTCTTCACATTTAGCTGGGGCAGGGGGAAGAGGAGATGACTCCCCTGTGACCCGTGCTGCCTGTCCCTCTTGAACTGGCTGCTTGGGTACTCACCCCTGTCCATGCGCTCCATGGGATACCTGCTCACTACTTGCAGGCTCCATACCAAGTAGGCGTATTCCTGCAAAACCATGCTGTGGAAATACCTGCATTTGATGGAGCTACATTTTCACGTTGCAAGGCACTGGCTGCTCTGCCTGGAAAAGCCCATGCCCAGTATAAGCTGCGTGTTTGTGTCCTGCCCTAACTCCCCCTGGGACGACCCTTGTGCACACACAAAGCACTTCTGTGCAAAGGAGCTGCCCCCCCCGTTGCCAAAGCGGGGTAAACTACCTGGTGCTGAGCAACCCCAGCACCCTGCCTTGTGCCGCACCAAGTGGAGGCAAAGCTATGCATTTCATTAGGGCCTCGCAGAGCCCAACCAGCTGACGCAAAAATCAAGGTGTGAAAATGTTACTGACTGAACAGAAATGATGTCCTTGTGTCAAGGATTTCACAGTCCCATGCCATCTGCCCAGGTGATCCACTAGCTGGTGGCAACAAGGGCTGCTTTCCCATAACAGACCCACACCAGGAGCCTTAGCACAGAGGCCAGCAACACCCCATTAGGGTCCACCTGCCTTTCCACAGAGCTCCGGTTTCTCTGCAGTGGTATACCAATCCAGGGTTTCAAATCCAAATTTGCCCTGCGCTGCTGGGGGAAGGCAGGCAAACAAAAGGGGCGAGTGCTGCAGGTCTTTTCCTAGGCAACACCGTTGGACGGGGCTAGCTGTAAAATAATACAACCACAGCCTTCGCTGGAGAAGTGCGAGTTTAATGAGTCTAATGCCCTGGTTGCCACACAAGAGAGCTGCTATGTGCACCTGGAGGGACAGACAGCGACTAAACGTTTCAAATCAGAAACGAGCAAATCCTACGACGATCACTGCGCGAGGCCTTGCAATTGCACCAGCTGCAGCTCTGTTCACTTGTCCTGGGGCACAAAACCCGCACCAACAGGCTGAACCAGGTCTCGGCCAATAATGAGACCTGGTTTTATCCTCTCGCAGCCACACTCTTGTGGTTAGTGAAACATTTTCCCTGTGTGAGCCCTAATAATGGCTTTTGCAGCCAAGGTAATTAGTTGTTTACCCCCCCAATGTTACTTTTTTGGCATGGTCTCGCAATGACTTCACTGCTTTCACAGCAGGGGAATTTCAAGTTAGGGAAATTGGATTATTTAAGGGTTTTTGTTGGGTTCTCCCCCCTGCCCTGAGAGGAAATATTGTTGGGGTGGTGGAGCAGCTGCTGGGACGCATCAAGCAACCTGGGATGGTTTGTACAAGGCCTCTTTGCTAAAAGCAGATCCATGGATCCTCACGCTGGATCACGGGCATCTCCGGGCCCACTCAGAGCAGCAAGCTGCGTGCTTTGTCGTACGTCCCGAGGAAGATGAAGCCTCCCAGGCTGATGGCTGTCATTCGAGGGATGACACCTGCAAACAAGCTGAAAGGAGAACGGGAAAAGCTGTTTCCTGGGTAGCACTGGCTTGGTGGCAAGCACGTGTTACGCTTCTGGCCAAGCCCCACTCTGTTCAAGGGCAGCACGTGCAGGCTTTTACCTTGCCATCTTCTTCAGCAGACTCATATCCCTTGTTGATTAAGGGAGGGATGCAACTGTGAAGTGCCCTCAGCCTCGTTCTGCAGGTGGGGAAACTGAGGCACAGCACCAAAGGGCTGCATCCCCAAAAAGGGTTTAGATGCCTTCCTTGCGTTACCTTGCCAAAAGCAGATCCCACACCCCTGAGCTGGGCATTAGGCCCTGCATAGTGCAAGATCCAAAACAGCTAGCATGCTAGGTGGAGAGCTGGGGGGATCCCCTCAACCCCAGGGTAATGCAGTCTCCAACAACCCTGGCAAGTGCTCTAACAGCTAGGCCACCTTCCCCTCCCTCCAGCTGCATCCTTGATAAAAGCAGCTGCTGCTGCCGGGTTGCGTGCAGCACCTGAGCCTGTCAGCGTGCGTTGGGCACGTTCGGAGAACGCCTTCTTACTCAAGCCCTGCAGGGGACTGGCAGCCCGGTGTCTAGATCCCGACCAGACTCAGGCGTGAACTTGGCAGCCAGAGGTTCGGTCTTGCCAAGTCGGAGGCAGCTCTGGGCATGCACAACAGCAAAACTTCAAGGGCAGAGCGAGGTGCCTCTGAAGTTCAGGTATCTCTACAAGTCAGCAGCTGCTGGGTATAAGGACTGCAGTTTGGACTCGTGCATCCCAAGTGTCACATATGCTCTTCATTAGGTACCTCACTCCCTCTCCAGATCCGGACCCAAGCGCCTTATCCTTGGTCACAAGCAGGAAAGGACCCCTGAGCCTCACACTGCAGACATCAGGGTGCCTTGTTCTCTACACTTCAGGTGATCCACCCCGCTTAGGGGCAGAGGACAGGCTGGAGGAACAGTAACTAGCTAAAGTCTTGAAAACACGGTGGGTAAAAAAATGCCTGCTCAGTGGTGGAAGATAATGCCAATAGGCAGGGCTGGCCTGCAGTGTAATGGAGATCTTAACTCAAGAGGACACAGGGCAGGTGGAGCATCCAAAACCATGCATGTCCCATTACCTGCCAGCATCCCAGGAAAACCCGGAGAGCTGCAAAGTGCTTTCTGTGAAGACAACATCCCTCTGAAGTTGATGGGGGCTCAGCACTGGGCAGGACTAGGCAGGTTGAGATAAATGGCCAAGGGAAGTTGCTCTACCACTAACACTGGCTGGGATGACAAACCTCAGGACAGACCTCTGCAGCTCTCTGCACAAGTCAGGCTCTCCTAAGCTGGGTGCAAGGACTGGCTAGACCCCAAACAACTC